GGCAATGAATTTTAAACTAACAGTCAGCCAAACATATTATTGAACCAACATGCACTAGCTTAATGAACCAAACACGCCATTACATTTCAATAGAGTTTATAATATTAACTGACATTATAATTATAGTATTTTCAATAAAAAAACTACATGCATAATAATTGAAAAAGTTGATACCCTAGGCAATCAATTTTAAACTAACAGTCAGCCAAACATATTATTGAACCAACATGCACTAGCTTAATGAACCAAACACGCCATTACATTTCAATAGAGAGAAAAATATTATTCGAACACACACAGTACCAAATATGGACGACATTTCTTGAAAGCTTCTTGATAATCACACTGTACAAAAATCGCACCGAGCAAGTGTGTGCTTGCGGTTGCAGACTTGTGGATATGGTGTTTCTATGGCAAATTTCACTTCCAGTGATTATCTTAAAAGGGTACGCCACGGTAGTTGGGTCTATTTTAAAAAATAAATTTTATTAGGTCCGGACTTTAAAATTTAAATTTTAAAGTTAATTTACAAAAAGATATTTATTATATGGGGAAAGCCGGAGAGGGCTCCCTTTCCTGTTTATATATATTAAAATGTAAAATAAATTAAAGCAAAATAAGAGAAAGCACCTTTTTTTATATATTTTTATTTTTTAAATCAAATGAGCTTTGAATTTATTATTGTTAAAATACAATTACTATAAAGCAAGTATTCTCTTTATTTCAAAATAATTATCATTTTTTTAAGAATTAAAAATTTGTAAACAATTTTATGTTAACCTTAATAAAAATAAAAAATAAAGATAAAAAGAAAATTTTAGTGATTGAGTATGAAAAAACATTTACGTACCTTAAAAATAAAAAATAAAAAAATAATTTGAGATAATTTTGAATAAAAAAGGACAACATGAGTAGAAGTAATTTAGGTCCCGTTTGGTATAGTGATTTTGGGATAGCGATTAACGGTTTTTACTTAAACCACTAAATATAGGTGTTTGGTAAATTTATATATTTTGAAACCGTTATAAATAAAGTATTTGGTAAAATTTTTATTTAGTGGTTTGAAACTAATGGATAGCGGTTAGAGTCCAAACCGTTAGCAGATTGAAAAAGTTAGTTTATGTAACTTTTTGTATCAAACCGCTAATAAATTAAAATTTTTTAATTTTATTTATAAATTTATCCATTTTAATTTTTTAATTTGTGGTCACATTTTTTAATTAATAATTATTTAATAAATTTCAAATTTGATTTTTTACCTTTAATAA